CTGATCCACTCATACTTTTTAGAGCCACCCTGTAGAAGTTAAAATATTTTCATGAAATACACCCTAACACATACTTTAGATAAGAACTTATACAAAATTTCTAAGTTTCTTTTTTATAGTAGCTACAGATGCCCGACACACTGTTGCCGGACCCGTATTTTGTATTTTACTAAGAGTGAGTCCCAGGTGGGACCCTCCACTGAGGCCGCGAGGGCCTATTGTGGCCGGACCCGTAGAAAAAACCTTGAACCGTAGCAACCCCTATTTGCGGCAAGTTTTTGATAGACACACTTATAACATCATGCACAGAATAATAAAAGTAGCTTCAATTTGACATATAAATAATCAAAAAATATTATGACCGTAATGTCATCTCCAAAATCAGTTATTATTATTATTAATTAAACATCGCTGCGGCAACTTTTTGATAGGGACCCTGTTAATAGTGCATTCTCCTATTCCTCATAATTATACGTAAAAATTATAATCCCCACCATGTTATATGGAAGCGAAACCTGGGTGCCGATGCCGTACCGCCGACACACGAAGGCATTAAACAAGTTGCAACAGAGACACACCTTAGACAACTCTTAAGAGTCCGATGGTTTAATCATGTTACAAACGTATAGGTCCTTGAAAAAGCTAACTGCGAGAGTATTGAAGTCATGGTTACAAAATCCCGCTTAAGATGGGCTGGTCACGTATGCATAATGCAAGAAAACCGTATACCAAAATGCTTTACGGTGAGCTTGTAGACGGTAAGAGGAGGCCGGGTGGATAACTCAAAAGATACCAGGACATTTTCCACGAAAACTTAAAGGGGATTAACATGCCGAATGAGTAGGAAGAAGCAGCTCACAATAGAACTCATTGGAGAAGAACTGTTAACTCAGTTAACAGCGACATCCAAAAAGTGAAGAGGAAACAAAGCAATGAGATTTTTGAATGTCCGGAGTGCGGTATAGGCAGATAACATCACGTATCGGGTTTTTCAGTCACAGAAAAGCTCATGAAAGAAAACGCCTTGCGTGACCATCTTCTGATGCGTGTTAAATACTCGTCAGCGAGTAATGGCAGTATGTATGTATACGTAAAAATTAGGTTTTGATTAAAAATACGATGAGCGTAATAATCCTGAAGAGGGAGCTTATAGTATTATAACAGTAAAAGAAAACACTAATTCGCCACAATACACCAAAACATTTACTATTAAACACTGGACGTATATTGTGGTGACTTAATATTTTATCTTGCTGAAAACTTGAAGGTACCATGCCAATCAGCACAAGTGTTTTAAAATTATACTTAATAAAAAGGCTCTAAAAAGAGAGAAATGCCCTACCTAAGGAAAATAAATTAGTAAGAGTGCCGCGCACATAACACTTAAATATTTACGGCGTCTTGTATTTCATAACTGCGGATTCTGCGATATACGGTGGCGTTCCTTTTTACGGGGGCTATTTTTAACACTGCTTTACGAGCCCGCTTCTCGTATATTCCGAAGTTTGTTTGCGAGGTTAGGGTTTCCATATTTTTATTCCACCGTACGTAGGTCTGGGAAATTTGCAAATTGTACTTGATTTAATATGAGACTTTGTTATAAATAAAGGCCCTCTTAACACATTTGGACTAAATATTTTTTATAAACTATTACTAAACTTCCAGTCCTAGATAAGCATACTAATATATACTACGTGCGGATATTTGAAGTGAAACTTCTTATTAATAGCCATTAAATTGAAGGATTGATGGACATTTTTAGTTAGGTTGTAACAAATAGTTTTTTTACGCTTAAAAAATAGTTTTTTGGGTGTTACAAATAGTTTCGTCGCGTCACTACGTATTCCTAAGCCGTTATCACTTTTCGTTAGCACTAGCTCGTGTGTCACGGCCGTCTCGCTAGCTCGTTTGTCACGACTTTCAATTTTTATTGCCAACTCGCTTAAAGAAGTTTCATTTCAAATTTTGAAACGAGCCTGGGATTTATCCACTGAAATAGAAATGTAAAATAAAAAAACTTTATAAAATACTAGAAGGCCCGGCCCTTGAGTACAAAACGTAGTACTATGGCGAGTGCTAGCCGCTCTCGCCATCTAGCGGCAGCTGTAACAATTACAGATCGTACCGCCAAAAATAATACCAAGCCTTCAGCTCCATCTACGGTAACGTAGAAGAAGCAAGCATGTTTGTCCAGTAGGCCGCTGGTTTTATTTTTGGCGGTACGATCTGTAATTGTTACAGCTGCCGCTAGATGGCGAGAGCGGCTAGCACTCGCCATAGTAGTACGTTTTGTACTCAAATGCTTATTCTCTGCTTTTCGTTTAGCTTTTTTCGTTTTCCTGTTATTACCGATTCTGAACCATCCTAGAACTCTGCAGCGCATGCGCAAATGAAATAATGTCTTCATATTTCCTTCTGCGCATACGCATCATAGTTCTAGGACGGTTGACGGTCAAAGTCGACCTGACGATGGAGATAAATCTCCGAAACCGGCCATCGAATGGCTGTTCCCTTCAGTCTGATGAACTTAATGCAGAGAATGAGCATATATGTAAGGTTTATTGGGCCTTTTATTAGTAAATTAGTTTTATTTTTAATTTTCTGCTTCTTGTATTTTGTTTATAAAATTATTGAATTACTAATATCGCTATTAAAAAATAGGAGTTGATGGTATAAGAGTGAACATTTAGGGTTGTATCTATTTTTTAATA